CGAAAGTCACGTCGCCGGGCCCGCTGTTGTCCATCTCATCAAACGTTGGCTCGCCCGTACCTACAGGCCTTCCCAACGCGTTTTTTCTCAAGGATTCTCTTGCGTCCCAGCTTTCTTATCCTCCTTTTTGGCTGCAGCAGAGTAGGCCTCCTTTGGACATGGGTGAGCACTCTCAGCAGCATGGAAGGGCGTCATATGATAGTCATGCCTCGTGGTGTCCAGACGACCAGCTACGCAGGGAGGAGCAAGAAGCCGCGATGGCATTGTCTGGAATGCGGAGTGGTACGTGACGGGTCGCTCGGGGTCGTTTTACTTGCATATAAATATTCTCTGTTCTTTACTCATGGCTGGAAGACTGTAGTGGCATCAAATGGCGTTGCAATTGCTTGTATTGGTCGGAAACTTCTCTCTGAGAAACTGGTCTTTTGAGGTTGAAACTTTAGCTTTCGCATGGGAACCTCTAGCACATGGACTACCTTGCACGATATCATCGGAATACCACCATCATTGTTTCAAGAATTATACTTCGTCTTTCAGTCCAATTGCGTATATCGATATTCAAGGGTATAAAATAGGGCGTTAAATAAAATACTGTTGACATTCCCGACCGCGTGGTATGTACGTTGCCACATTTATTTTTGTACTCCATCTCTGAAAGTATTATTGCTTCGAACGTCAAGAATGACGAGTAAAACTACTAATAGATACCTGAGCTCTACTTCGTACCGGGCGCAGAGTACATCCACATGAAGTAACGACAAGCTCGGTACCAGAAATATATGTGCTCCTTCGTTGTCTACCTAAATTTTCTTGAACCGGGAAGTATTGGACCTTTCTTGAGCCAGGTGATTCCAAGAGCCAAGAGGGTGTTTGGCGAAATCGTTCAGCCAATTTGGGGGGAGGGGGGAATATATAATGTTTGCTGAAGCCCTCCATCGGCAGAAGCCACATCAATGCTCAGGGAGCTTAGGAAGAGAGTAAAGAAAGGGAATTCTGTTCCATTTATGCCTCAATGAATCCATATTACCTAGATGTTGATGTGGTAAAAACGGGACGATGTCTTCGTGATATGGAAGCCTCGTGTGATATTACGCGCTTCATTGCCAGGTACGGGATTCTGAGGGCAGCAACAGGAGCTTGGCCTGTGGAAATCCTTCCCTTGAATAATACTGACCGCGACGTCTTCGGGTAATATCGCGAGAGTAAGTGGCAGGGCTAAGAAATACAAGATCATGTCAATACCTTATCTGGTTCACTTCGAAAGGGCACAGGCAGAGGGCCAACAGAACTGCCGCTACACGATGGATTACTTCAACTGAAAGCTTCCCCTCCTGTTCCTCGGTATAGGGCGAGCAGCCCCGCGCTACGGTTCAAATTAAAAGTGGTTTTAGGTGCCGCGGCTTTCGTCCTCTTCCCATGTTGACAACCCGCCCTAGCACTATTTCTAGAACTTAATTAAGATTATTCTTTCTGCCTACCTTAGGTTTTCACTAGGTTTGGTGGGATTCCTGATCTTTCTTCTCGGTCTTCCCTTCGCTTACCCAAAGTCGTCCATCCGTTCTCGTCATACCAAATCCATTCACTCGCGGTACGATCAATCGCTAAATCCCCAATCATGGTTCCAACCATGAAGGCAGTCGCCGCACACTTGGCCGTTCTGGTGTGTGGTAGTCGTGTCGTTCGTGCGTCCTATCTTCCTAGCTTGGATCCGTACGGCGATGCTAGAGTTACCGCCGCTTTCACGAAGACGGCGTCCTTGGTTCCCACTGGTTGTGCTGCCGTCGACTATCTCACGAGCTCTTTGCTTGCTGCCACCCCTTCGGGTAAGATTGCTATCTCTGAAATTGTGTCCAAGCCTACCGGGTCTACCTAAAGTATTCAATATAGGTAGATGATGGGACTGACAAATCCAAATAGCCACCCCAACTGTCCCGTATTCGGTTGCCCTCGAATGCCTGGTTTCGGTTCCCAACAAGCGGGAATCTGCCTTGCGCCTTGTCAAAAGCCTCAAGACATATCTCCAGTGGCAGTCGACGCTGACCTTTCTGAAGGACCCCCCACGGGATTATTATTGGCCTCCGACGGACCTCATGGCCGGGCTAGACGACATCGCCAGCAAGGTCTGTACTAGGCACTTCCCAAATGAGTGGGAGTTTGGAAAAGCTATTTATTTGCTGCTCTCCTCCGCTCATGACGGCCATCTCTATTACGTCCCGGATATCTTTAACCCATTTTGGTTCGACAATGACCTCATCCAGGACTTAACTCACGTTTCTGTGGACGGCCTCGAGGTCCCGAAGCTCTACCATCGTCAACTTCTCACGAACAGTAGCGAGATGCCGCCAGCGGTGGTCAAGATCAACGGCGAGGATGCTGTGCAAGTCATTTCTCGTGGACTGTCCGAACAGTTCCTTGGTTTTCAGGATATCGACGCCGCATTGAACTCGCAATTCGAGTCGAGCCATTTCCCTGTCAATCGCTCGTTGTGGCTTTCCGGATCCCTTATCGCAATCCCGCAGAGAATAACACTGACCTACGATAACGGTGAGGAGCGTACAGGCGAGAGCTATGCTTTCGTCACCTCTCGAGTTAACTTTACCGGTATCGAGACTGGCGACGATTTCTACAACCGTTGTTGCAACCCAGAAGTAGTTCCCTACTCCCCCTCTGAAACCCCCACTACTACCCATTCTCCTCCAGCCCCAACCATTGACGGCTACCCATGGCCTGTCGTTCGGGACGATGGTTATAATCTCACCGCTGGGTATTTTCTCAACGGGACAGGACGCTACAATGATGTAGCAGTCCTCTCTATAACCGGTTTCGAGCCAAGCGATGAAGCAAACTTCACATCATTCCTTCAAGATTTTCAGAAGACGGTCGCCAAATTTCTGGCTGCATGCAAAGGCGAGAAGAAGACCCAGTTGGTCATTGATCTCTCCACCAATGGGGGCGGCTATATCATGGCGGGATATGAACTGTTCGCCCAGGTAAGTGTTAAAGTACCTCTTCTGTCACGACAATCGTAGACGTCTTCTAACCTGTCTTCGTTGATAGCTCTTTCCCGGTGTTTCGATGACGAAGGTGGAGAATTTGCGAGAGCACAGTACCCTCGTCAAGATCGCACATATCGCCAACTCTTTCTCGGAGCAGGACGGCTTGCTCCCCGACGATCTCACTGTCACGGAAAACAAGGACGGCACATTGAACATCACAAGTTCCTTGCCACGACAAGAAGCCGAGAAGAGAATGGCGCTGTCGTTTCTACGTCACCAGGATGTGGGCGAAACTTTTGTCCCCGGTGCCCTTGGCATCTACTCCCCTCTTGACGGCTCCAAGCTCACCGCGGACGCCATCCTTGACCCTGTCACAATATTGGGAGACAAATTCACGGCCTTCCAGTTCTCACCATTCAACGAGACCGACCCTGAGTTCAACATGACGGGCACAGGGACCGGTTCTAGCAGCCACCCACCCCCCGCTGTTTTCCGGCCCGAGAACATTGTCATCCTCACTGATGGCCAATGCTCCTAAACTTGCACCTTGTTCTCTTATCTCATGATTATGGAGAAGGGGGTCAAAACCATTGCCATAGGCGGGCGTCCGCAGCTCGGACCAATGCAAGCCATTGGTGAAACCGAAGGCGGACAGGTTTTCTATTTCGGAAGGATAGGAACTACAGCGGCAGCCGCGCTCCATCTCAAGCACCATCCCAACCACACGCATACTAATCTTCCGTTCCCACAGAACGATAGTGAGGAAGATCTGCGTCTCCTCGCAGAAGGTTACGCTGCTGCGCGATCCAGGTCCAGGTCGGGTGTGGGCTCGGTAAACGGGAAGGATGTCTTCAGCAGAATCAACGCCACCACGCCGCTGCAGTTCTTGTATCAGGCTGCCAACTGCCGCATCTTCTACACCAAGGAGATGCTTTCCAATCCTGACACCGTGTGGAAGCGGGCCACCGACGCAACCTGGACCAATCCAGCCAAGTACTGCGTCCACGGCAGCCGTGTCTTTGACAACTTCGGAGACCATGTCCCTACCGACGAACTCTTTGTGCACTTTTCGCTGTTCAATAGCTCGGGCCCCATTCCCGAGTAGATCAACTGCGGTGCCTCTTCCTTGGACGAAGTAATACCGTGAGATAACGACGCCATTTGCTGGAAGAGATTGTGCAATGTGCCTGGGCGGTTATCTAGGTAGGTAGGCATCGAGTTTGTGGGGGATATATGCAAGGTATTCAGTCATTTTCTCCTTACATTACTCTCTTTTTTTTTTTTTGTTTTTTTTTGGGGGGGGGGGGGGGCTTCTCATATAAACGATTCCTTATTAAAAGGCTCACAATCCACCGAGAAGATTGATAAGTTAAATCGTGTTCGGAGTATAAAAAAGCGAACAAATCGTTTGTGAGAC